AGAGGTAACTCGTGGTTGCTGTGATGCTGAACACTGTGACACTGATGTGCCAAACGTGGTAATAGGCACCCATGGTGGACAGTGTTGGCTGGAGCTTCCCGACTAAAACAAGCCTGGAAGCAGAAGCAGCATCCACTTCCGAAATGGCTTGCCTCCGGAAACTCAATGTACGAACAGTGCTCAGGCCTTTAGTTCACAGGGTCGCTATGAGTCGTCTACGACTAGATGGCACCTAACAACAACAACATTAACATAAGGTTAGCCAGGTAAGTGACTGATGACTAATCCCAGGGGAGTAGTAATGGAGGTAGAGAAAAATGGTCAAGCTCTTGATAGATTATCAAAGAGGATACAACTTGCTGATGAATTATAGTGACGTAGGACAGAAAGAAAAGTCACAGACGATGCCAAGGTTTTTGGCTTCAGCACCCGGAAGACTGCAGTTGTCATTAACTGGGTGTAGGAAAACTGCAAGAGATGCAAGCTTTGAGACAGGGATGAAGAACTCAGTTTGGGACATATTAAGTTTGATACGAATTAGGTATCCATAGGCAGATGTCACAAGACTAGAATTCCGTGGACAAGTTTTAGGGATATGAGTTTGGACGTCATTAGCATAAAGATGGTATTTAAAGTCATGAGTACGGACAACAGCATCAAGGATATGACTGCAGATGGGGAAGGGAAGAGATACAAGGACTGAGTCTCAGAGCATTTCATCACTAGAAAACCAGGATGAGGAGGAAGTAACACAGGAGACTGCCAGAAGTGATTAATGAAGGATGAGGAAACCCAGGAGGTAGAGACATGTAGGAAGTCTTGCAAAAGGGCTGCTGGGGTAATCAAGGCTGCTTAGTACTCAAAGTCCAGTCAGATGTGGATGGAGAACTGACCATGCCTCACCGACCTTCATGGTATAAATGGCTTCACACGCAGTGTCAGTAAAACGGCAACGCTGAGACTTGGTGAAAGTGAGCTCACGAAAGATGATGGGGCACGTATTAAAAGCAATTAAGACCACTTTTACATGGATTTTTCAAGATGATATCTGTTTGTGTGCTGATGGAAATGATTATATACAGAGAAGGAAACATAGGAAAAGTGGGGGGGGGAACCTCAAAACCCAAAACCAGACAAAACAGAGTAATTTTGAAATTATCCTTAAGTAGGTGAGAGGTCATGGGGTCTAACATGTAGGCAGGACGTTGGCCTTTGCTTCAAATAAGAATGGCTGACCTCTTGTGAACAGAGAGAAGGCGGGGTGCAGGAGTAAGAACAGACAGATAACTGGATAGATGTGGTTAGGAGCTTCCGGGAAAATCTCTTTGTTCTTATTTTTTTATATTTTTAACTTTTTTATTTAATCTTTATTATTTTTGTGCGTGTGTACCATCAAATTGGATCTGACTGGTACAGGAGGAGATTGTCCCCCCTTCTCCAGGAGAGTACCTGGTGGATTCGAACCGCATACCTCTGGGATTGCAATACAGCTTCTTGCCACCAGAGCTCCCTGTTCTTAATTTTTTTTTTTTTCTTTTACTGAAACAGGAAATAATTTTTCAAGGAGGTGGAGGTTTGAGTAATGAAGAGAATGAAATAGCCTCAGATACTGGGAAATGGAATGGGGGAAAAGGAAGGATGTTTGGGCAATCTAAAGTCCCCTTTAGCTTAACTATACAGGCCATGGTTTTTGCAATCACTTGTTATGCATCAGAGAGCTGGACAATGACTAGGGAGGATAGAAGGAGAATTGACGCCTTTGAGCTGTGGTGCTGGAGAAGAGTATTGAATGTACCCTGGACTGCCAAGAAAACAAACAGATTCATCGTAGAGAGGATTAAACCAGGCTGCTCCTTGGAGGCAAGAATTCTGGGGCTTCGCCTGACATTCTTTGGACATGTTGTAAGGAGAGACAGGTCTTTAGAGAGGGACAACATGCTGGGTAGAGTAGAGGGACAGCGCAGGAGGGGAAGACCCTCTATGAGGTGGATTGATTCAGTGACTGGGTTACTCGGGATGGGTGTGTTGGAGGCAGTGCGATTGGCGCAGGATAGAGCAGGGTTTAGGGCTGTTGTACATAGGGTCGCTATGAGTCGCAAACGACTCGACGGCACATAACAACAACAACCAGGAACTTAAAGTGTGATAGTCGGTATGATGTGCACTTTTCTCCAGGAACAGTCAGTCATACAAATGCAAGCATTAGCGGTGGAGGGTTGGGATTAACCAAGCCCAATTCCACTGTTATTGAGTCAACCTCAACCCCAAGGACAGAGGATAGAGCAGGATGACCTTCAGGGGTTCCCAGGCTGTGAATCATTACAGAAGCAGGCTGCCTGCTCATCTTTCTAGCAGGGAGCAACCGGCGACTTGAACCACTGACCTTTTCCTTAACAACTTAATGCCTTAACCGTAGCACCACCACAAGTTCTTGGGTTCAATCAAAGCCTTTTAACCCAAGCTCTTTCCGTTTAATCAGGCACATCAAGAGTGGCAGGGGAGTCTAGCGTACACGCAAAGAAGTGCTTAGTGACTGAACACAGGACTTAAAAAGTAAGGAGAGACGACAAGCAATTTTTAAAATATATAATTACATATAGTTTATATGATAAGTCTATTCTATAGCACAGATACATCCATTATGATGTTGTTGTTATGTGCCGTCGAGTCGCTTGCGACTCATAGCGACCCCATGTACAACAGCCCTAAACCCATCCATTATACGGTTCTAAAATCAACCTCTGTGCTAAAGAAATAACCTAAAAAGCCAGAACATAGGAAGAAGAAAGTGCCATCAGGGTTGGAAGAAGATCCATCAATAACCTGCAATATGCAGATAACAAAACCTTGCTGACCGGAAGTGAAGAGGACATGAAGCACTTACCGAGGAAATAGCTTGCAGTACAAATTCAACTAAAGAAAACAAAACTCATTACAACTGGAACAGTCAGCAACATCAGAATAAATGGAGAAAAGATTGAAAGATGCCAAGGATTTCATCTCACAGGGCTCTCCGATCAACACCCCGAGAAGCAGCAGTCAAGGACTCACACAGCACGTTGCACTGGCAAACGTGCTCCAGAGGACCTGTGGTAAGCGTTAAAGAGCAAATGTGCCTGCTGACAGTGCGCCCGACTCAAGCCATGGGATTTTCACTTACATGCTGGTGGCCCAGTGGGTAAGGAAGTGGGCTGGAAAGCTGAAGGCAGGCGGTTCAAATTCACCAGCTGTTTGTTCCACAAGAGGAAGAAGGATGCAAACCCATGTTTATCATGGCTTTGTTCACAGTAGCAAGGAGTTGGAAACAACCTAAGTGCCTATCAACAAACGAATGGATAGAGAAGCTGTGGTATATTCACACAATGGAATACTATGCTGCATTGAAAAACAAGGAATTCGTGCAATATTATTCAAAATAGGTGACCTGGAGGACATTATGCTGAGTGAAGTATCTCAGTCACAAAAGGACACCACATGGTGCCACTCTTGTAAAACAGGACTGACATCGGGGTTGGGGGGGACACTGAGAAAGATGGTTTCGATAATGTATACTGCATTGAAACAGATGCGGGAGAAACCTGTTTAAGAGGGATATGTGATTAGGTATTTTTGTCATGACAGGAGTCCAGAGCGAAGGCTGCATAGTGGAGTGGACCTGGGGGGAGGGATTGTCAAACAATGAAAGAATTTTTCTTTTACTTTTCCAAGAGGGAAGTGTACTGGGGGTGGGGAGGAGAGAAAAGTGCAACAGTGAATGAACGGAAATAAAAAAAAAAAAGAGGAAGAAGGGCAATCTCCTCTCATGTCCCTTGAAAACCCACTGCAGCAATAGGTTGTTGAGACTGTAGGTGTGTGAAAGTCTGAATAAGGAAGACTGAAGAAGAACTGATGGTCTTAAACTCCAGTATTCATAAAGAACATTGCGTATACCAAGGCATAAAAGAACAAAGAAATCTGTCTTGGAAGGCATAGTGGGTCTTAGGAGCAAGGTCTTAGGAGCAAGGAGCAAGGAGCTTGGAACATGCTATCAGAGGAGTCATTCCCTGAAGGAAAACATGACGCTGGACAAAGCAGAGGGGCAGTGACCCTCGGTGAGATGGATCAACACAGACTACACACAACAAAAGGCTCACATACTGCAGCAGTTTTGCGCAGAACAGATTCTGACAGGGCTGCAATCTGTTGTATATAATAAGATCGCTACAAATTGGAGCTGACTCAGTGACCTAATAGCAGCAGCAACAACAACAACTTCTTTAAAGTTAAACACATAGCCATGCACCAGAACCAGGATCCAAACCCAAGTAGAGGCAAGATTCAAACCACTGATAGAACTAAAGGTAAGAATCTATATAGGTACTATATATGTCAACCACTACAGCATATTTTAAGGAGCTCTGGTGGCCTAGTGGTAAGAAGCTGCACTGCTAACCTGAAGGCACAGAGTTCAAATCCACCTGCTGCTCCAATAAAAGAACGATGAATCATCTCCGTCCCTGCAATTTACTGCCTCTGCAAACCCTTGGGAGGGTCAGCTCTGAGTCGGCCCTAACTCACTAGTACTCAACACCACTCCCACCACCGTACTTAAGAGGCTACCTACAAAACCTCTTTCAACACTAGTATTTGTTCATTCCATTAGATTTTTTAAAATTAAATTTTGTCCTTATAGGTATAATATCAAACCAAAGCCGTAGAAGCAGACAAAAGAAACAACTATATATAATAATACATACATTATATAGAATGGGTTCACAGTATAAAGAGCTCAAGTGATTTAATATTAAATAAGTGTAAGGTTCCTCTGAAAAAGTGTAAGCAAAATGGAAGAAAGTAACATGGAAGTCTTAACACCATTCATTCATTCAAACACTTACGGAGCATCTATCATGAATTAGGTACTGAAATAGGGAATATGCGAATATGTCCTCATTTGCTGCTGCATCCCAAGTATGAGTGAAGAAACTGAGAGTTTAATGGATAAGTTATTTGTCCAATACCATAGGCTAGTGTGTGGACAAACCGGAAGCCCACAAATCTGTCCAGTGATTTCTGCATGGTGGCAAGTCAATGCTTCTCGTTTGCTTAGAAAATTCAGTCAATATGAAGAAAACGACAAAATTTCCTAGATAAGATGCTGACAATTATATTGAATTACAAGCAGAGATTATACTACAAATATATCTAAATAAATACAGGACGTTTCTCTAGACTGAAATGAATAATTACTAAAGAATAAAGCAAACACTAATTACATTTGGATGTGAAGATGGCCCTTATTTTTATAAAAATTCTATGTCTTACCTCTTGATGTGCCAAAGAAGAAGAGTGTCACAATCCAAATTCCAAACATCTAAGTTAATTATTAAAAGAATAAGTAAAAACCACACAAAAATCTTCTGTAGAAGTCTGCTTGTAAAGTTACTTCACCTACAAAATACTAGGGAATTTTCTGCAAAATGACACCACCAGGCAAACAAATTCAAGGTTCTCGAGACCATGTAGTTCACTGCACCTTTAATTTTTGAGCCCTATGATATAAAAGGGCCTCAACGTCTGGTTTTGTATTAAAGAATGTAATTAGCTGGGTGTGCCCTACCTACATCACTGGCTGGTGACTAAACTTCTGAGGGCTTGCTGTTTCCTCATTAGTAGTATTTTGGTTAGACATAAACAAAGTCATTCTAGAAAGTTATTTAAAGGTTTCAAAATTCTAGATCATAAACATTGAAAAGGTAATTTTTCCAGATCAGGATAAGATGTTTTCAGGACCCTTTCCCTAACATTTCCCCATGTACACATTCACTTAATAAATCCACCTGCTGAAATATGTGATGAGTTAAATAATTGTGTGGCACTATCACATAGCAGTTACGATCACTGACTCTGAAGTCTGACCCTCTAGACTCTTCTCCTTTCTACCAGCATGGCCACAGACTATTAAGTAAGTTTCAATGTTTTTCTTCACCGTGAAATGGGAATAATTATAGATACACTGATGTGATTAAATTATTTATTATATGCACAATACTTGGTACACAAGTACCATATCGAGTGCTAATTTTTTATTACTGTCATTTTAAACTAAATTCATGTTTATGAGGCAGCCTGGTGGGGCCATGAATACACAGCTGCTAACCCAAAGGTCAGTAATTCAAATCCACAGCTGATCCAGAGGAGAAAAATGGACAATCTCTTCTCTTAAAGATTTATAGTCTGAGAAATTTAATAGGAGATCAGACTTGACTTGATGGTAATGGGTGGACTGAAGTTTATTTATATGGACAAATTTATGTTCACATATAGGTAAATGAGCATTATATAACTGTACAGAGGCTTCCTGATAGAAACTGTACCCAAACATTGCCATCAAGTAGAGTCTAACTAGTAACGTCATCTGTAGGGAGTTGAAATGCAAATCCAATTGGCTGTGCTTCTCTGGAGGCTCCAATCCACAGGGGACCTTGAGGGAGAAAGATGGGTAATTTCCTCCCATACAATTTACAGCCTAGGAAACCCAGCAGAGGATCCGCTATGAGTAGATTTCAACTTGACAGCAATGAGTTTGAGGTTCTTAAAGAAAGACAGAGGAGACCTCACCCACAGAGTTTCCAAAGATGTATATCTTTATAGAAACTTCTGGCCACATCTTTTTTCCAGAAGAGCTACTGGTGGTTCTTTTTGTTTAAACTTTTTGTAAAAATTGCTGGCGTCTTGTTATCAGCTTAACTGCTGCACCATCAGGGTTCCTGTTCTACTTCGGTGTGTTCAAACTTGGTTTTGTGTTGTTGGGTTTTTCTTCTTATTCATTAAGTCATTAGGAAGCAATCCGAGCTACAGATATCTCATATTATTTTAGTTTTTCAATGCTCATAGAAAAGAGCTAGAAAGATTATGTGGATTTTCTTAATTTCCCCCCTACTCTCAAAATAACTGCATTAAAACTTGAACATACTTATGAGCTACTCGGTCTTTTCAAACAAAGAAGAAATTATGAACGAGAGTTGTTATGAGTCATGAGCACTTTGTGTGGTTAGAAAATTCCTGGCACTGGTAGCTCATGCTGGAACACAGGCCTGCCGTAAATAAAGGATAGAACCAATTGGCACCCTGCGTGGGGAACAGGACAAGAGCAGCACCCACCACCCGGTCAGTAGACAAAAGACACATTCTAACACTTCACCAGTGACTGGTTTTCCCAAGGGAACTCTGGTGGCTTAGTGGTAAGGAGTTGTGTTCCAAATCCAAAGGCTTACAGTTCAATTCTACCAGTTACTCCCTAGGAAAAATAGAGACAATCTCTTCTCTTGCAGTTTAAACTGCTGGAGGGTCAGCTATGGGTTGGTCCTAACTCGAGGGTACATAATAACAGCGATAATACTGTATATGACTGAAAATGCTGATTATTGACATGATACGTCACTTGGGAATTGATATTGGTGTGTACCATAGAGTTGCAACTAACACCTAACCAAGAGCCTACCCTCCAGCGGGTTTTCAGAGGCAGTAAATCACATGAGAGGAGGCTGCTCATTCTCCTGCAGAGAAGCTGACGGATTCAAACCACATACCTTTGGGTTGTCAGTGCAGCTCTTTATCTAGGCCACTAGAGCTCCCCAAGTAATAAATCCATCAACAGGATACTGTCAGAAGTTTACATCTTATTCATGTCTGTATCTCGTGTGACGCGTCTGATGCCTGAGCCTCAAACAAACAACGCAAACCCATTACCACTGACTCCACTCTGACTTCTAGTGGGTCCTCTAGGACAGAGTAAACTGCCCCGGTGCATTTTTCTGATATTCTCTGCTTTCAGCCAGGATCAATTGGACATCATCAGTGATACCCCTGGTGCCACTGCCTGTTCTAAACCCAGCCTGTGACAGTTCTCTACTGTTCTAGCAGCTTTGGGATGATCTTGAGCAGTATTTTGCTTGAATGTACTATTAATGATATCGTTCAATGATTTCCACATTCTGTTGGTTCACCCTTTCTTGGGAATGGGAGCAAATAGGGATTTCTTCCAGTCAGTTGGCCAAGCAGCCCATCTCCAAATTTCCTGGCAGTGAGTGGTAAGCATACCCAGGGCTGCATATGTCAACTGGTGTTCCATCGATTCCTGTGTTTGCCAGTGCCTTTACTGTAGCTTGAACTTCTTCCTTCATTGCCATTAGTTCTTATTCATATAGTAATTCTGGAAATCATCCAGTGCCAACCAATTCTTTTTAGTACAGTGACTCTGTGTATTCCTTCCATGCTTTGATGCTTCTTGGATCATTCAAGATTCTTCCCACAGCATTTCCCAGTATTGCAACTTGAGGCTTGGGGTTTTTTTCCTTTTCTTTTTCAGTTCTTTCATAATGATTATTATGTGCAGGCCATTAGTCTAGGTGCCAGAAATAAATCAATGAACAAAACAGAAAAGAAATACCTTGACTTTTGAATATTATATTATAACGAAGGAGGCAGCCAATAAATACAGTAAAGAAGTAAGTTATATAGGGTATGTGGAAACATGATGGTCTGGAAACAAAATTAGATAAATTGTTAAAGGGATTAGGTAAGCTGGGATTTGATGGGGCAAGAGGGTTGGCTGTATTAACATTATAATACCTCAGCATTACTTTAGGAGTTCCAACAAGGTTCCATTTGAGAAGGTGACACTTTAGCAAGGAATTAAGCCACTGACTCTGACTTTCAGGTAGAGGCAAAGTTAAGGCCATGCCCTGGGGCTGTGGTTCACCTGTTTCTTGAAGGACAATGGGTTGGACACAGGGAGAGAGTGGGAAGAAGAGCAGAGGATGGAGTCATTGAGGCTCTTGGAGGCTAGAGTAGGTCAGATCTTGGAGGCCATCATAATGACTCCAGCTTCCTCTCTCACAGGAAACAGGAGTTTGGATGGATCTGAGCAGAGAATTTTCATGTCTGACTTCACTGTTAACAGGGTTATTCTGACTACTGTTATCAAGGAACTAAAGAAGGACAAAGGTTTACAAGCAGAGGGGTTTGCAGTAATCTAGGTGAGATATAATGGTGTTTTGAGCCAATAGAGTAGCAGTAGAGGGGACAAGAAGAAAACTGATTTAGGATATAGAATGAAAACATAGCCAACAGGGTTTCTTTGATTATTATCTTTAACCAAGAATATAACTTGGTTGTATTCTTTAACTTAGCAGTCGGAAAGCTCAATGATACAGTAAAGACTTAGCAGCGGTCGAAAACTTGATTTATCATCTTTCCTTTTTTACCCTCAGACCATACCTTTTCTTTACTGAGTATCTATAGAAGAATTCATATGATGTTTGAGGGAATAAGATTAACTTGTTGTTGCTGTTGTTGTTATGTGCCGTCGAGTCACCTGTGACTCATAGCGACCCTATGTACAACAGCCCTAAACTCCGCTCTGTCCTGTGCCAATCGCACTGTCTCTGACATTCCCATCCCAATTATCCCAGTCACTGAATCAATCCACCTCATAGAGGGCCTTCCTCTCCTGCACTGTCCCTCCACCCTCCCAAGCATGATGTCCTTCTCCAAGGACCAGTCTCTCCTTACAACTTGTCCAAAGTATGTTAGACTGAGCCTCAGAATCCTTGCCTCCAAGGAGCCTCCTGGTTTAACCCTTTTCAGAATGAATCTGTTTGTTTTCCTAGCAGTCCATGGTACTCTCAATACTCTTCTCCAGCACCACAGCTCAAAGGCATCAATTCCAACTCTCTGATGCATAACAAGTGATTGCAAAGACCATGGCCTCTATCAGACACACCTTAGTCTCCAAAGGGACACCATTGCTCTTCAGTACTTTGGAGAGGTCCCTAACAGCAGACTTTCCCATGGAAATATGCCTTTTAATTTCCTGGCTACTGGTGCCAAGAGTGTTGACTGTGGAGCCAAGCAAACTAAAGCTGTGAACAATCTCAACCTCTTCACCATCCATCCTGATGCTGCCAATTACTTAGTGAACTTATTTAGCTTAATTGACTTAAGGTATGTAATTCCAACACCCCCCCACCCCCGGCTCCCCACAAGTTGTTTTGAAATGTGCTTGTAAAATAGAC